CCAAAAGCACGAGGTAATTGATCAACTTGTGATTTGGTTGGAAATCCGAAGGTAACTCGTGTCACTCCTTGGTGGTTTGGGGATTTGAACCCCTGGTTGTTGTGGGACATACTGTTTATGGGGTTGTCTTAAGACAGGGCTACCACAAATGGCAATGGCTTCCTTGTTGGTTTCCCTTGTTGGTTTCCCTTTAAAACCAACACAAACGGGGCACCCCCCCCCAAAAAAAAGAAGAAGAAGAAAAGCGAACACCAACATCCTGTTGTCCAAAACAAGGCTACCAGTGACCCCCGTCACTCCTTTTCCCAAACCCACGCGAGTGCAACCTGCAACCAGCTGAATCCGGTCCTTTCGCAGGCGCCCAGGGCTCGGGTCACCGAGACCACCTGAAAAGCCGCTGCGTCTCTGCGCCGAAAAAACCGGGCGGTCCGTTTTCTAATCCCCTGCCAAAAATTTAACCTCAAGTGGGACAACTGGAAACCCAAGCACTAAACCAACTGAAAGGATCCAAAAAGCTAAGGAACCGGATGGGCGCCGCCCAGAAAAAGCAAGGACTCAAAAGAAAAAAAAGGAGAATGGAAGAATGTTTGTTCAAAAGAGCGTTTGACCCCTCCGAAAGAGTCCGGCGACCCAAGCATCATTAGACCCTCCAAAGGGGAAAGGGACCTCCATTGAAAGATGTTGCACCTCAAAAAGGGCTTTTTTGAGGGCCCAAGATGTTCGGGGCAAAGCCGATATGTAAGCGGCTATGTCTGATCCCTCCATGAGTTCCTTCCATTCTCTTCATTCAGGACTGTACACCCCATTTACCCAGTAGTACTTCTACCACCAACACCAAACACTGCCTTTATGCATATGCAACTTACACAACAACTATGTACCACCAATACCAAATGCTGCATGTATGCATATACAATTTGTACAACAAATTAGTGTCCAATCCAAGGAAGGAGAACACCGAAATCCCGCCTCGGGCACTCCCTTGGATCCGACCAGCTCCAGCGCAGCCTCCCAGGCGGCGCTTTGAGCGCAAGCGCCCACCGCAGAGCTGAAGACCAGAGGATCGGCCAGGCGCCTTTGGCCTTGCGAGGCTTTGGGGGGTGGGGGGGCGGGGGTTGGGGTTTTGGGGTTTGGGGGTGGGTTGGGGGGTTGGGGAGGTTGAGGGGGTTGGGGGGGTTGGGGGGGGGGGGAGCTATGGGGCGCGGCCGCAGGCGCGATTGGCTGGCCAGCTTGTCCTGAGCACTCAAAGACTCTATGCTGTTCTTTGACGGGCGGTTTGTTTGTGTGTGTGTGTGTGTTGTGTCAGTCTGTGAGCAATGTATTCCTTGTTGCTGTTGTTTTCTGGATTGCCAGTTGTGTTTGGTTGTCAGGCTCTACTATTCGTTGATGTAAAAGTTTGTGTGTGGTTGGTTTGGCTGGAATGTTGATGCGATGTGTTGATAGTATGGATGTTTGGCTGACACGCGTTCTTGCCATTTGTTCTATGCTGATACCTGTTACTTGGGGTCATGCATAGTCTGGAGCTATTTGAACTCAGGCGCATCTGCTTTGCTAAACACAACTCATGTCACCCCCCCCCCCCTCCCTGTCATTTGTTCGCAGGACACCATCACCACCAACACATCAAGATGAAAAAATGTTCCATGCTCCAACCTGTCATGGCACCCGTGACATGCACGTTGCCAGTATATAGTTCGACTGTCACAGACAAACCTCCGGACACGCGTTTCTACGCGCCGGTTTGTAATTGTGTTTGTACATGTCACGTATCTGTGCTTGTGTCCGTGCGTTCCGTGTATCTATGTCTGCGTGGGTCGGTCCACTGGTAACCCTTTCAGATGGAGTTCTACAACCCTACAGGGTTGATGATCCTCCGCCAGTCTCTTGATAGACTCCGGGCGCACAATGCATCCACCAACCATTCGGTGGCAATCAAATGCTCAGTTTCCCTTGGTGGCCCTTGAAAAACCCGTTGCAACACGGCTCCCAGCAAAAAGACACACCCAAGTCTTTTCAGAAAGTCTTCGGTCAGCTCCCCTTGTTGGTTGCTTTCCTGTTTGGGTTTCCACCGAAAGACACGCCCAGTCAACTTACCCCTTGCTGGTTTGCATTGGTTGCCTTCCCAGGTTTCAAGAGGAGCTACCAATCCAAACCAATGACTCTTGGCCCACAAAGGGGTACACAAAGAATCATACATGTTCTGACTCTCCGTGTTTTGGTTTCCCTGGAATATGGCCGTGGGACACCAATGGGATCCCATTTTGGGGTAGGTGCAGCACCCATTTTGGAACCTATTCTAGTGGTTGGATTGAGATGTTCACTGGGGTTACGATTTGGGTTTTGACCCATAGCCAAATGAGAAACCTCGGTTTTCAGGAGGAGACTGGTCGCCCACTCGACTCGAGCCCGCCGAGGCCAGTGCCCGCGCCTGCGGCCTCCAGCAGCCGGAGCGCTGCGGGCCAGTCCTTCTGCGCCCCGCATCTTCGGATCTCCTGCGCCAACGGCTGACGTCGGAGCCGCCCAAAAAGGTGGGTATGTTTCTATGCTGGGGCAAAAAAGACTGCCAAAAAGTTGGTCTTCTTCATGTTGAAAGGTTCCAAGGGTACCTTCCCAGTTGAGTGGGAGAAAGCCACCAGAACCGTGGACTTCTTTAATGGTCTGTGGATGCAGTTGACGTGTTGCAAGTACACAATGCTAGTGCTAGCTTCCATTTCCATTCTTTCCAGGAATCCTTCTTTTCAGGAAACCATCAAAAACCCAGGGGGAAACAGCCGGTTTTCGAAAAGAACGATGGTTGAAAAGACTGGGTACTTGTTTTGAAAGGAGAAACACGGTGAAAAGTTGAGCCAGGAAGTGTTGAGCGGCTCATGTGTTAGGAAGATTGGCCCTCTGTCCGTTTTAGCGAGTGGATCTTTAGTTGTTTGTTGATTCGGTGTCACTTCTCATGTTCCCATGTGTTAAAGGTTCAAAATCCGACCAAATAGCCAAAGAAGGATAAGCCCGGATGAGCTTGAAAGCCGACCCATTGCGGAAGGCAGGCGGTTCAAGAAACAGGCCATACCATGGTTGCCCTCCCAAAAATCATCACCTTCGGCTGACTTCAAGAGGATCCATGTCCAACCCTTTTGTCTTTCTTGAGTACCCGTAAAATGAAGCCAAGAAAAAAACTGACATTTTTAGTGCAAAGCAAGTCCACTAGTCGTCCACTTCCCACGTGTCCTTGTTGACCTTGAGGATCGCTTCACGCCCATGCGGCCATTCCATGCAGACCCATCGCGGACCTCCGTTGGCTTGCCGTGCTGCATTCAGGTTCGCGCATTCAGGCTCTATTGCTCGGGGGCTTACCCGAATTATGGTACATATGTAGGTGAACTATCATGATGCACCAACCTGAATTCAAAAGATGGACCCAAGTACGGAACCTTCATCATGGTGATTTGACTTCGCCAAAAAAAATGTGAGGTCCAGCGACTTGATTGGTTGAGCCGGTTAACCTGTGCATTCCAGTTAAAGCCAAACTCAAGTACAATAAAAAACAAACAAACAAACAAACAAACAAACAAACAAACCCAGAGGCGGCTGGGATTCCTGAACCTCAAGCACCATCCACCCATTTTCCCTTGGCTGTTCCAAACTCTGGTGCCGAGCTGCGCACTTCAGGGCGCACGCTACCGCGCCATGGCCGATCCAACTCGCCGAAAAAAATCGCTTCGCTCCGCGGGAAGGGCGCTGAGGCGAGTCGGCTGCGGTCGGCTGCAGTTCCGTCCCCTCGGTTTTTGTGGGCTTGGAGAGTCACCCACTAGGTCCTCCAGATTCGAGAGGTTAGAATCAGGCTACCCGATGGTTTTCTTTGCATTTTTTTCTGTAGTCGATTTTCGTGGGGGAACCCTCCCAACAAAAAGGGTAACAGGGCACTACTGGGGGACCTGGCCCATGTCCCTCCGAGAGGATGGAGGGGTTGGAAATGTGGACCAAACCTCAAATGGGGCAACCTCACCCAAAAAGAACTCGGTGTCAACTTATTTTCCATTTGGGCCACTCGCAAGAAGGGAACCAACTCAAAGTCAACGTCCTTGCAAATCTTAAGTGGGTCTTCCACGAGTTCCTTGACAAACGGAAACGAAGAATCCGAGCTCCAAATAATGCCAGTTGTTCTGATGCAGATACCTAAGGCGGTACTTGGATGCCGTGTTGGCTTAAAATGCCATCCCCAGGTACTTGGACCCTGTTGTTGTCTGTGCTTTCCGAAAACACCCAAGACAGGCTTCCTGCATGCGGTAGCGTTGTGCAAGGGATACAAAGCACCTCTCGGTCTGACCCGTGCACAATCGCCTATACTCAAGGCTGGGGTTTGCCCTCACCAAAACATACATGGCCCATTTTGAGCGAACCCTAAAATAGCCAATAAATCCAAAGGCGACTCCACTTCAAAAGCACCAGAATCTTCAACGTTCGCTGGCAACAGCCCCCTCCCCCCGACATAAAACCTCGCAACTTTCTTCCGCCCCACGCGCATCGCATTCCACCCGCATTTGCCCCCACCCCCAGCCCCCCAGCCCCCCACCCACCCCACCCTGGGCGAAAGCGGAACCTGGCCGCGCGGGTGGAAAGCTGAGGGAGGAACCTCCATGAAGCCAAAGGCAGGCGCAAAGGTCGCATGCAGCAGGGCTCGCTGTAGTTTCTGGTTACTTAGGCTCTCTGAACCAATCCAACGATGTCCACCAACCACTGTAAGAGGTGGTGTCCAATTAAGATTCATAGGCAAATGATGAAGTACTTAAAAAACCCAATGTCATGATCGGAATTAAGAATCCACTTATGCTACAAGGCGTCATCCTGATTCCGGCTAGACTCCAAAGTCACAGTGGATATCAAGTTGCCGACAAAACATACGCCTGCCATGAGGGACGTGAAAAACATTCAGGGATCCTAAAAAGTCCAAACTCTGGGCAACTCTGGAAATCATTAAACCTGAAATGAGGGGACTCTCATCAAAAAAAGTCTCTTCGGCTCTGCCCCCATGGACCCTGGCCTATCCACTTCCGAGGCCTTCCGCACTACCGGGCGAACTCATAGCCCTTGCTCAGGCGCTCCAGCACCCAGGGCATCTTCCTCACGACAAGTACCGCACTCGCTGGCTCTTCTAGGGCATGTCCACTCTGAACCCAGGGATCCGAATACTTTCCAGAAAACCTCCCAAAAAAAAAATCCGGGGAGAATAGCTGGTTTTTTTGAACAGAACGATGGGTGGAAAGAATGGGGAATCGACGCCTAGAGCTGCGGCTCGACCCTTTTGCGGGAAGGGCCGCCCAGTTCAGGTCATCCTTTGGGGTGATAACTTGCCTCAGCTTGTGCAATAGTTGGTGCCCATAAAGTGGTTCAAGGCAAAATACAGGCTAGAAAAATCCCTCGTGGTGTCCATCTTTGGGGGGAGACTTTCTCGGCTGTCCTCAAACTTCTCCCTAGGGTTCAACCCCCAAAAGAATGGCTGACCCAATCTAGATGACAAAACCCCTTAGGTATACAATGGTGGTTATATTCGCCCCTTTGTTTTCATGATAGCTTGAATCCCAAGGTTCCCTGCTTCAGATGGAGACGAAAGATATTCACCGGGCAAGCCAACTGAAAGCCCGCTGTGGCCCGTTGCCTAGACTCGAGCGAGTAACCACGCTCCTTCCTTCCAGCGACCCGAAAGAAGGACCAAGTCAAAAAGGGTACGCCCCAAAAAGGAGTCGTCTCAAAAAGCCCAACTCCAACAACAAAGAAAAACGCCAACTCCAATCAAAAAAAAAGAAAGACGCAAAAAAAAACAGTCAACTCCGCTTGAGAGCCAGCCGCCCGAAGCGCCCGGCGGCGCCGCAGGCGTCCAGCACCAGAGCATAGACCACCGCGTTGGCGCGCAGAGCATTCGCCATGGAGCGATCCAGTAGCCGCAAAGCCTGGCCCGGCCCAACGGCGCGGCTCGGCGCGCTTGCGCAAGCGGCAGATGTTCTGTGGGGTTTGGTTTTCTGGAAACCCAACCCGGGGTTTCCTCTTTTTTTTGTTCTCCCCCCCCCCTTTTTTTAATGAGCTGCAAATGGCCGTGGGGCAAAAGCCCAATCGTACCCCCAGTGAACATCCCAATCCAACCGCTAAAATAGGTTCTAAAATGGGTGGATTCACCGACCAACCAAAATGGCATTGGTTTTGCGCCACAGCGATATGGTGTGGTGTTTGGTTTTCAGGGGAACCCAACCTCGGGGTTTCGGAAGTGGTTTTTTTTTCTTACAGGCTGGAGTGGAGAGAGTAGGAAAAAATCGCCTCCTGCTTCTTTTTTGCCACTGGTTGGTGCAAAACCAAAAACGCCATCAAATCAACTTTTGGATGGCGCTAAGATGTGTTCTTTTCATGTGGAAAAAAACTGAAACCGCCGACAGGAAACTGGGCTGTCCCACACCCAGGATGCAGATTGGGGAAAACAAACATGTCCAAAGGTGCAGAAAGTTCCAGAAACAAGCGTATCGCTCAGTTTCTCTACCCGGTTTTCTGAACTGATGGCTTTGGGCGAGAACGCGACCCGAACAAACGGCTTTCCCCCCCTCCCCCAAGGATGCAGCCCTGGCGTTCCACGCCCATCCTCCAGCTCCTCCCCCCCCCCTACTCAGCACTTCGGCCCCAGCCTGACGCCACCGCCTGGCCCGCGCAGTCGCGCCCAAGGCCGCCCCTAGGCACACCTCGTCCACCTCGAGCCCCCGGCGCTCCACCTGCGTGCGGCTTCGGCGAAACCGAACTCTGGTGAGCTATGGCGTTGCTCGAAATTTGTGACTTCCTCCTTCTGAACATTGGTCCCTGCTTTATGCAAAAATGAGTCAGTTACCCAGCCGATGACTGATCTGTTACCCAGCCGATGACTGATCTGAACACGTTGTCCTTTCAGGTGAAAACAGACATGTTTATGGGAAAGATAACATCGATTGAAGAGGGTTCCAATCAAAGGGTTCCGGTTCCATTCAACCCTTGGTAGGGAAGCGAAATGGAACCCCGCCTGCTAAAAAGAACAATGAAACAAGAAGAAAAAAAATGTTGACGCCAAAGTCTGCTGGATGCACAAAACGGACCCCAGGACTGCCCCAACGAACTTGGCTCAGCGCCTTTCGCGACTCCAAGCGCCGATCGATCCGGCGCCGATCCCGGCGATCCGATGCGCCGATCCACCGGCGCCTCGTGGAGCAACTGCAGCGCCTGGGGCCACTGGGCCGCCTTCTCGCAGGCGGACAAGGAGCTGCTAAAGGTCACCACCTGAGGTCCGCTTGCCATGTGGGTGGAGCAACCGATGTCATCGGGTTTTCCCCCCCCCCCAGAAAAAAAAATGAGCAACTTCCGGAACCTCTTGTATAGCCAAAGGACATCGGGTAGGGGTTGTCTTTTTGTGTTTTGTAACCCTATCGTCTTACAGGGTTTTGTGCATATTGTGGTAGTCTTTGTGGCTTCCCTTGAAGGAACGACGAGGACAACAGGATGTTGGCTTCCCTGCAAAACAGCCTGATGGGGGGGTGCTTACTGTTGGGGGGGGTTCCCCCTTTTTGGGTTGGTTTTAAAGGGAAACCAACAAAAAAAAATATTGCGTTTCTGGGAGAGCCTTGTTTCAGACAACCCCCTATGTAGCAGCTTCCTCTTGGTTTGCAGCCCTGCTTCGAAAGGGCCCCTTGTTAGTGGAATTGGCTCACAAGTTAAGCCGAACAGAGGATCTCAGTTCCCCCTATAGTGGGTAACTACTTATGGTCCTTTTGGTTTGTAAAAGGGGTGGTTGCCTAAAGGAAACCCTGTTTAGCGGACTAAATTCTGAAAAACCCAACCACTAAACCAACCTTCAAACCACTAACACACCCATCAAAAATCCGAAAACCACAAGGGATCCGCCAACAAAAATTCGTTCGGCGCGCCGCATCTGTCAGGCCATGGCTTTGGGCGACCTGCAGCAGTGCCAGCGCTTGGCGCCAGGACCCACTCCTCCCGACTCACGCCGCATGGGAGAGCCTTTGTTAATCTTGGGGGAACCGCTAGTTTGCCGCTAGGGTTGGCCAAAAGGAAGGATGGCCCAAATGTTTGGGCCGGTTTCTTGACAGGCGTTCCTCAATTTCCCCCTTTTTCGGAAGCTCCAAAAGTGGCGGTCTGTTCAATGGAAACCACAAAGCCAGGAACGCCGTGCTTGGCCGTCGAAAGGAAGCCCCAGAAGAAGCCATCCCAAAGGTCGAATTTGGAGAACCCAGCGGCTGTCGAGGGCGCTTTCGGGGGAGGGTTCCACCTGCCAGCGCCTGGATGGGATGCCATCCTCATGAGCCACAGGTAGATTCGGGCTCGTCCCTCTCAACTCACCCTCCGTAAGTTAGTTATAACCGACTTTGCAAGTAGTTTGAGCATAAGGTTGGAGTTGGGAGGGCTTGCAGCGCCAAACAAGAATGTACCGGTGTTTGTACACTCTCCTTGCACACCCCCATATCCTCTCGCCAAAGAAAAAAACCTCAAAGTGGCTGAACAATCAAAGGTAGGGTATGAAACCGGGAAAGCAGATTTCCACAAGCACGTGGGCCAGGAAACCCCGGTGTTGGGGTACTTCTAACCAAACATCATAGCACCATGTGAGCTGCCGAAGTTATACGATACTCCAAAGATGTACATCCAAGAGTGTGGCGACTGGAAATCCCTTGCTCCATGATGACCTTTGAGATTGAATTTGACTCCTTGGGAGGGTGTATTCTGGCCATTGACATCACCTCTAAAAGTTCCTTAGTCCCAGTGGCAAGCAAGATCGGGGAATTGTTTTCTTTTTGGAGGGGTGTTTGTTCTGTAGACGTCTGTAGACCCCAGTCGAGTGGGAGAAAGCCAGAACCCGTCGACTTCTAATGGTATGTGGATGCAGTTGACATGTTGCAAGTACACAATGCTAGACTAGGTCCTCCAGATTTGAGAGGTTAGAATAAGGGTACCACCTTTTTTCTGTAGTCTATTTTAGTAGGGGAACCCTCCCCAAAAAAGGTAAAAGGGCTCTACTGGGGGACCTAGTAGATATTTACACACATTGGAATGCTTGTTTTTTTGCTCTGAACAGCCACGTTGGCTGCTCTCCCTCCCCATGGAGCTTCATGGGGTGCTGGCTTCCGCATGAGTGGTCGCCTTTTTCGCCGGCCGAAGATCCGTCTCCCCGTCTCCCCTCCTCTCGCAAGCGCTGATGGTGGCGTTGTAGGTGATCACCGTAGGTCGCAGCTGAGCTAACACCTCTGGTTTCAAGGTGTCCCGTTTCAAGACCCAGCCATATCTCCCACCTAACAGCTATAACCTAATTGCCTGACGTTGGTTGAACCTCCGTCTCAAAATAGGGGGACACACAAATGAGAGGTAGCACCCACCAAAATGAGATATCAAGATTGGCGACTAGGTGATGTGCAAACCACCAACAAAAGACATGTATGGCCCAACCAATCTGATCAGCGCAAAAGAGAACAAGGACGGTCCTTCTCCGCAAATGGTTGGCCATAATATTGACCCCGACTACAACCTCACCCCAAAACTGTTCTGGGATAAGCTTACTTAGGATAAGCTAAAGCGTTGCTAACATGCAACATGGACTTGTGATGTACGCCCCATAGAGAGCGAATACGCGCGTCCAGTACTGAAGACTCACATGGTTCGCAAGTTTTCTCCCAGTTCCAAATCATTCATGTTGTTCCTCGAGAGATTACAAAGCCATTCAAAGGGGTTCCTAGTTTTGACACATCTGGTGGATGACACCAATATACATAAGATGAGTACTGTTGTCAGTGACTCATCTGTGTCAAAGCATGCGAAACCTGCAAAAAGGTTGGTGTCATACTAGCTCCTTTATATACCATGGCCGGGCCGAATCAAAGTTGGGGCGGGTTCAAATCCCCCACTGCTCACGCCGTGCCAATCGTGGAGACCACAACAAGTCCGGCAAAAGGTTTCGAATCTTCGGCCATAGGGAGATAGTCTCCTTCACCCCCCCGCCCCGCCCAACACATTGCTGTGAATGTCAAAGCCATGGGTCTGTCCCAAAGTTGGGGAACCAGAAAAAAGGATGGCTTCCTCTTGGCTTCCCGCTAAAAAAAAAAGAACCGTCGGAAAAAAAAGACCCAAACCGACACACTAACCCTAAACAAAAAACCTCTACAACAAAAAATGAGACAGACACACACACACACACACACACAAAAAAAAAAAAAAAACACACGCACAAAAACACCCCCGGGAGCACGTGAAAGGGCAGCTTGCAGGACCCGCTTTTTCTTCCTCTCGTCCCAGGCACCGCATCGCCGAAGAGGTGCAAAGCCACCTGGGCCCCGGGAACGTCCAGTCATCCCCCAGTCGTTTTTCTCGCCCGCAGGCCGCTGGAAGCCACCGAGGAAAACCCCGGTACCAAAATGGTCGGAGTCCCGGGTGGGTATGGGTCAAAATTAAGACCACCAGGAAAACCTCAGGTTTTGGTCCATATTTGTCCACTTAGGGCAAGCCATTTGGGGTACCTATTTTTGACCCACAGCCATGCGACAAGAATCTACGAAGGCGGAATTTTGCTAAGCTTGCTAACCGACAGAATCCCTTGCTAACCTTTTCATCTACCCGGGGTTTTGAGCAAGTGGCTCACTTGAAGCCACCAATCCTGAGTGCCCATACAGGATTTCCTCAATCCCATGTCACCCTCAAGGACCAAAGAGTTCAAAGGGAGCAGGGCCTTTGCACCCTGAGCTGGGTCAGGTCGCTGGCAGGTTTGGGATTCAAAGGGAAACTGATCAGTGCCCTCCCCTTCGCCTGTCAAGGAATCCCAAAAGCCTTCAGGCAGTTGAAGGACCGGATGTTCAACCTAGCAAGTTATCAGCCTGAAAAAACGGAACCAACCTCTGTCCTAGTAAATTTATCACCGGAATACACCCACCGGCAACTAATTGGGCTCCATGGAGTTAGAACCGTTGGGCCAAGTGGGTATGGGTCACCCTTACACCAGGACATGGACCCGACCAGCTTCTAGTCCTTTCCATTTTCCGATCAAGGGCAACCCATTTTCGGGTTGCCCTACTATTGGCAACCCAAGTAGGTGCCCTTACAGTATAATTTGGTAACCAAGTGGCTTGAACATCCAACCCCCACCCCACCCCACCCCACCCCACCCCACCCCACCCCACCCCATCCCACCCCACCCCACCCCACCCCACCCCACCCCACCCCACCCCACTCACCCACCCCGTATGATGGACACTTAGGGTCTATTTTGCAACCTTTATCATTTAGGGTTTGGTTTTTTTCGGGTTCTAGGCTGCAAAGTACACTCAAAGTGTCCTGGACATAGGTTCCAAAAAGAGGGATATTATGGGTCGGGTGTCTTTTTTCGGGGCCCCCAAATGAATATGTTTGTCTTTTAAAATCCCCCCACCCCCCCTACCCCCCCCACCTACCCCCCCCACCCCCCAACCCCCACCCCACCCACCTGACCCACCCCTCGCCGCCTGCCACTCGGAGGCCTTCTCACAGGCGCTGATGGCCGCGCTGGTGGTGACCACCGAAGACAGCTGGCCTCGGGGCCGGAAACGAGCGCAGGCGCTGAGGGGTTTGGGGTTGCTCCGGAACAAAAACATCAATATAGAGGGACAAAAATATATATTATAGTGGTATTTGTTAAAGAAAAAATACAAAAGGTTGCATTATGGTTATTATTACTACTATTATTACTATTATTATGATTATCATTGTTATTATGTTTGTTCTTATATTATCATGATTATTATTATCATTGTTATTGTTATTATTGGTATTATTATCACTATTATTGTTATCATTGTCATTGTTTTTGTTATTGTTATTAATATCATTATCATTACTACTATTATTATTTGTATTGTTATTATCGTTTCATTTTTCCCTTTTTTGATGTTTTTTTTTCTTCTTGGGGGGGGAGTGGGGGGAGTGGTGGACCTAGAATCTCAGCACTAAATGTAGATCCTTTGATAAATAGGTCAGACCCCCTGCAATCTGTTGGTTGGTTTCGCAGTAAAACAAACAGCAACCAACTTTGAGCCAAACCAAAAAGGGCTCGGGCTCGGGCGAACAACCTGTGCGAAAGGGCTCGCTTCCCCTAAGCGGTCCAACAACATGTCCCGGACAAGCGAGCGACGCGTCCCGGCTCATGGAGGTCTCAAAAACGTCTTAGGACACGTGGAAAAAACCAGAGCCATTGGTTTTGGTCGAGCCAAAGGCCTGGCCCCGTATGCTTGGAGAAGGCTGGTTGCCATACTTTGCCATACTCAGCAGAAGTTGCTGAACTGCTTTGTCGTTGCACCTCAACATCCCGACAATGAAATCGCAGAGCCCTGTTCAGCGGTCCTCTCCAATCCAAGAAACGCACATTGTGGGAATCTGCGGAGATATGGTTTGACCCGCAGACAGAAGTAGTCTGTGCACCGAGTCCTGCGATCACAAAGAAGCAAACTGAGTAGAGATTAAAGAGAAGGTGTCAAATATTGCTAAAGATTGGGTGAGAAGGCTGTGCTGGGTGAAGAAATGGTGAGGCAGCCCGTTCAATTGGAAAGCGAACAAAACACCAACAGCTAGCAAACCAGATGTGCCTTCTCGAGGAATTGGTGGAATCTGCCCTACCTGAGTCATATTCAAAGCCAGGTATGAAGGCGTCTACCCAAACCAATGCACACAAATGAAAGGATGGATATCTGCACCTATATATGGTCGGCATTGTGTTCCTACCAAGCTTCATCTACTAGGGTTTTGCTTACCTGAATTCAATCACCAAAAACTGGTTAACTTATTTTTCTTTATTTTCGGACCTTCCCAAAAGCGCCGAGATGTAATGTCTGGGGAAACAGACCTGCGGGAAAGAAAGATGGGCAGATTTTTCTTTTTTAGCGCCTGAGCCCGCGTTTCATGCACCGGGTGCCCAACTTCCCCTAGTTCACTTCGATTTGGCCAACTTCGCCGAAGTTGATCAATGGTTTGCCGAAGGAAAAAGGCCAAAGTTGGCTTGCCAGCTCAAAAATCAACTCAGGTTTGGCCAACTTCGACCAGGCAACTCCCTCGAAAAAGAGACTGAAAACGGGAGTTGCCGAATTGCCCGGTCTTCGGACCCCCAAAGGATCGCACTCAACCGCAAGCCGCGGTTGGCCGCCGAGTTCGGCCACGGCCGGATTCAAAGCCAGGGCGCGGTGCATGGCCTCCTGGGAAGGATCGGAGGGCTATGGGAGGTGTCCAACTCAAAGGCCCGGCACTTTTTCAGCGGGAAGCGGGAATCTTGAAATCCCAACCTACCCATATGGAGCAAGTGAACCAACATCCAGCCTAGTTATTGCCAGGGGCTTTGCTTTCGACCCCTCCGTTTTAGCATCTGTTTGGGGCTCCCAGGCGCCTTTTCGGCGCCGAGCCGCAAAGAGCCATGTGCCATTTGGAGAGCTGGCAAACATGTTCGAAATGTCAACGCTTTCCCCTAGTTGAAACCACAAGGGCCACAAAATGTTAATATTCACCCAAGTGCTCGCTCTCTCTCTCCCTCTCTCTCTTTTTTATCTCTCTCTCTCTCTCTCTCTCTTTTTTTCTCTCTCTCTCTCTCTCTCTCTCTGTCTCTCTCTCTCTCTCTCTCTCTCTCTGTATCACACGCTTGTGCGACTGGGGCTTGGCGCAATTCTTCCAAGACCCAAGAGGCCAACCACTCGGCCTCTGTCAAATCAAAACCTCCGTTTCAAATGCTCTACCCAAACCTGTGAAGAACTCTCAAGGGATGTCGGCACCTGGTTCTGTTCGAGTAGATGTGTCGAACACTAGGGCAAAACGACTCCGCACCTCCCACCTCCAAAATTCCAGACATTTCCCAGGTTTCGCCCCCCCCCCCTTTTTTGCGCTATTTTCCAGGTGTCCCGCCCGGTTGTTTTTGTTTTTTTTTCCGCGGCGCAAGGCCCGGCTTTTCCCCTTAGCCACCCCCCGCCGCATCCGCGTGGTTCCGCGTGCCGCATACGCGTGCCCCCGCGTCCTGCAGCAGCAGCAGCGCCTGGCGCCAGGCTGCGGACTTCTCGCAGGCGCTGACGGCGGCGCCGAAGGACACCGCCGTGGGCGCGGCGAGGCCTCGGAGGTCGCCCGCACAAAACACCGTGTGTGGAGGATTCCCGGGGGCGGAGGGGGTGGGGGGGAGGGGGGTGAGGGTGAGGTGGGGGTGAGGGGGGGGTGAGTGGGGGGGACTCGCTGCGAGCCCGGGGGATTCTTCGGAACTCGGGGGGGGAGGGGCAAGTTTTGATCCTCCCTAGGGAGGGCGGGGGTGAGGGGGGGCCGGGGGGGGGGGGAGTTTTGATGCTTAGACAGGGTCCAGAAAAGAATGCGATGGATCAACAGGTCAGTGGTCACCCCAATAGAGTGACTGGGTTGCTGGACTTGAGACTTGGTCTTGTTCAGAGAGACCTTCTGAGCCACGGAGGTTTACCCTCCACCTGGAAAAATATTTGTGGGGGGGGGTTCTCCCTCAATGACTTCTGGGCCCTGAAAACCCGACCAAACCTAGGGTTGGGGATACAAACCACCGAAAAACAAGAAAAAACGCTGCAAGCCAGTTACGAAAAAGACCAACAACATGCCCCCCCCGCAATAGGTCTGTCTTTCTGCGAGGCTCAGTAATTTGTTTGGGGTTGCTTTAAAAGGAAAACCGGAGACAAACCCCAATCGTTTTCTCTCGCGTGGCCAAAGAAAAAGATCGCCTCACCAGTGACGTCGGAGCCTGTGAAGGTGCTCGATGGGGTCCCTGGTCGGTGAAAGAAGACAACATTTGGGTGTGAATTGTTTTGAGGGTGTTCTTGTTGGGTGAACCAAAATTCGAACCACCCTTGGGGGGCGAACAAAAAAATGCTCTGTCCAGTCAACTCTGGGCAGTGCCTGTCTTGTCAACCGAATCTGACCTATGGGATCCTGTCGGCGACCAGGTTCAGCCAACCTTCCTTTTGCGCCTACAACGGAGTGCCCGCCCCCCTGAAATCTTGTCGACCTCCCATTCCTTGCCGCATGCCACGTTTGGTTGCACAATTTGTTGAACAACTACGTCGCCTTTCCGGGAAAACCACAAAAGCTCGTTTGGGTCAAAGCCAACACATGCGTCAAAAAAGATGGGCCACCCCTGTGGAAAGCAAAAAAATAAGCCGTTGTCACAACTGTTAAACAAGAACAAAAACGAACAACAAAAAACAAAAAACAAAAAACAAAACAACCCGGGTTTGCCGTTCTCTCGCCTTTCACCCGGGGCCCCCGGCCGTGGAGGATGTCCAAAGCCCTGGGCCAGTCCGACGCCTTCTCGCACGCGGAGATCAGCGCGCTGTAGGTCACCACGTTGGGCCGCAGCTGCCTCTCTCGGGTTCCGACGGTTGAGGCTCGCCCGGTGTTCGTTGAAAAATCGGATGCCGAGAGTAAGGGGAAAAAAAAACGCAGCCGACGTGTCGCCCTGTGTTCGGGAAAAAATTGGACGCCGATTTGGAGCAAGGAAAAAAAGAGAAACAAGAAAGCTCCCCGAAGCCAGTGATTAGAAAGGATCTACCAAGGTTTGTAAAGTCCACACCGGGCTCGCTATAATATATATATATATATATATGTGGTACCACCCCTGTGGAATCCAAGTAGAACGTTGGCACCAAGCGGGGGAACCCTTAAAATGAGTGGAAGGCACTAGGCCTTTTGAAGCCACACGAAAAGGGTATCTGCAAAACGATAGATACATATGACCCTTCAGAGGAACCCTTGCTGTTGCTAAATTCCTATGGGGACCATCACCACTCATACCAAACCCAAGTAAACAGGACTTTTGACCAAAGGTGTAAATTGCAGTTGGAAATGGACCTTTGGTGGACATCAGAAATACAGGATCAATACATGGAACATTGGATGGATGACGGTTCACTCGCTTCCTATGTTCGCACTTCCCACCTACCTCCCGGGTCCCAGTGAGCATGTTGCAAAAAAAACTCTTTCAAGTTTCCAATTAAACCACCATTTAAAAGGCAAACCGCCTTCGAACCACCATTCGAGGAGGATACATGTTTCTAATATCATTTTAATGACCCAAGATGTTGCAACCACCTTCTTTTAGGGGACGCTTCCACCAACGTGAAACCCAGAAGAGGGTCGCTGATCCCTTTATCGCACGTCACTTTCAGGGGTGCCTGCCGAGCCCCGTCTGGTCAACCATCTTACATGGGGATTTGTGTGTCCAGCAACCATTCAGGGAGTTACAAGCCCCCGAATCGCCACAGTTCGGCTCCAAATCCACCAAACCCGAGTTGCTCTTTTGACGCCGTAGTTGTCATGGGCATCCAGGGAAGCCAAAATCCTTTTTGGATAGGCACGGTCAGTGTGCATTGTGTCCCCACGGCAATCGGGAAAACCGCCCCATTCCTGTGGCGTCCTTCTCAGCCTTTTTGATACACTGACGCCCTTCCTTTTCTGCATGCACCCCTCCAATTCCTCAAACCCGCCCCCCCCCCCCTCAAAAAAAAAAAAAGGCTCAGGTGATATCCCCAACAGCATGCGGTGCTCTTTTTAGTTCTCGCACCACCCCGCAGCCCTTGCAGAACCTCGTGGAACGTGCAACCTTGGTGGAACCCTCATGAAGCCCTCGTGGAACCTTACCTCAGGGCCTGGGCTGCCCCAAAGCTTTCAGCTGTTGGGGGAAAAGAAAAAACAAAAGCAAACGGCCTGGACCGCATGTCTCGCAGCAGCTGCAGGCCCTTCTCCAAGGGACACGCGCTGACGCAGGCGCTAAAGCCCACCACGTCCGGCCAGTCGGACGCACCGAGCTCAGCCTCCAGCTCCAAGACCTGCAGCCTGAGCGAGCGAGCGACCGCCGCAAAGCTCAGGGGGTTGCGTGCGGCCTGAAAGGACCCAGTTTACCTTCCTTCAGCTTCCCTTGGCTCAGGATCCTAAGGTAATTAGCCGCTTTGGTGAAGCATGGGAAGCATGTGGCCATGGGTCAAGATCCCAATCGTACCCCCAGCGAACATCAAAAAATCCAACCACTAAAATAGGTTCTAAAATGGGCGGTGAATTCACCTACCCCCCAAAATGGGATCCCATTGGTTTTCACCCACAGCCATGTCAGTGCTCTCTTCATCTTGGTGTGGAACGTCACCTTTTTGGGCTCCTGAAGGTGGGCCCATCTACCCACAACGTTCCCTCACGGAATTGGTCCTTCTCACATGGTTGCGGGTCTCAGCTTCCTCGGCATCCACTCCTGAAAGCACCTTCCATGGAATCAAGCACAAAGGAGTGGATGCTGACGAAAACTGCGGGCTTTTCTTTGCCTGACTCAAACCCAGGGCTTACAACGGTGAGTTCATCACCGCAACTGCATGGTTTAGGAAGGTGGGTTGGTTCAAAATAGGTGTCCTCCTTGTTTATCTTGAGAGCAGACCTCCTTTTGGTGGGTGTTGAACCCAGGTTTTGGGTGAGTTTGAGTTTTGAGAACACTCGGGTCGTTCTACGGACGACCCTCTTGCTTCTCGGATTTGCTTCCCTGGAGCACCTAAATGAAAACGCTCGTCCCATCAAACCATGACTTTATCAAGGTGTTTTGGGGATATGTGAGAGCACCCACATCGTGAGCGCCAAACCAACGGATCTTGAGTCAGGTTAGACCGTGTTCAAACCAAACCACGAGTACGCCCGCCAAGCCATCAAATATCAGCGACAAACCGGGTGCGCGGCTTCCTTCCCTCTGTTTGGAAACGCTTTGGGACCAAGCAGGGTCACCAGATTGTACCTGTTTGGGGTCTTAGCAAAATGCCAATTTGCCATGAATGTCCATTGAAAGGGGTGTTGCTTGCTGAGGAGCTGTGAGTGTAAACCCATCGGAAGCCCTCCAGCTACTCCTCTTTTGTTTTCCTTCGGCCAAACCACCAGACGCTTGTAGGAAAGTGCCTGAGTTTCGCTTTTTTGGGCAACCCCAGGACTCAACCCAGGGCTTGACAAGAATGTAGCAGGGTGAAAGCAGTTGGCACAATCCCATCGTGCTTAATCCCTTCTACCCACACAAAGGGAATTAATTGCGCCTACTTTCACCCGTCACCCGTACCTGAACCACTGGATGTAAACCTTTTCGAGGCAAAGCAACAAATGAAGCCCGGCGTGGTTGCTTCCTTCATCACACCCACACAGGGACCCCTTTGCGGTTGGGTTGTCCGGGAAAGGAAACCAGCCACTTTAATGTTTAACTACAACTTAGGATTCAGGTGTTGTCAATCGGCATGTCCGGGGGCAAAGATGTGAGCCCCAGGCAACGTTGAGTGTTCCTCCAGAGGAAACGGAAAAGTGGGGCCCAATCTTGAAATTTGGGTCAGCGCCCCATGCCATCCTCGAACGACAAAACCTGTCAGTTGCGCATATGGGCTTGTGAGTATGAATTCAGCAGAGGTTTTATCGATCAACTGGCTCCCCATTTGGGCTCTTCAGCAAGATTAAGGGAAGCAAAAAAAAACGACATAAAGAATCTACCCGGATATAAAAAAAAAAAAAAAAAAGATCTACTCAGGCTATCCAGCCACGTCCCTTTCCAAAATCCTTGGCGTGGCCGAGCCGAGCCGCGCATGCTGCCAGGCGCTAGCTCGCTCACAGGCGCTGCAGGCGGCGTTGCAGCAGATTCCGTCCCAAAGGGATCTGCTCCTGGCGTCAGCCGCCCCCCCCCCTCCTGCCCACGACTTCGGCCAGCTCCTCCGTGGCTTCAAGCCGAGAACGGCACGCATGTGGTCGGGGGTGAGTAAATTGGGGGGTGAAAATGCTAGGCCCGTTGTTGGATGGTTTTAAGAGTCAACCAAAGGGAAACACCTCCGATTTTTAGGGCTCCTGTAGTTGCAGAGAACATCCATCCGGGAATTTGGGGCAACAGGGGCTGCGTGGCTTTTGCCTAGAGTCTACAGTTGTTGTGACCTACAACAGCCACAGAGCAGCAACAGACGCCCAAAGGAAAGGGGGGCCAAACCAAAAAACGGGACGCCGTCCAGCGGCTGATAAAAACAGGAAACCAAAAAAGAAGGGCCAAACAGGGGTCCGTCCAAAAAAGTGAGGCAAGAAGCAATCAATTTGATGACCCATGCATCAGTTTCAGGAATCTCACTTGAACCTTGCGTTCTTTTGGAGGGTATGCTTTCTGAAACCCAAGACATGTCCTTTGGCTACCTGGTAGACTGGACTGACCCTCTAAGATGCCTTCCACTACGTGAAAATTGGGGATCCTTTTGGTTTCCCCGCACCCACCAAAAGAGGTGTGCCAAAAACAGACCATCTCCCCATGTACAAAAACAAACTCTCCCGTTTGCCAAAACAAGACCATCTCCCCCTAAACCAAACTGAACAAAAGAAACTGCACCCCCATCTCCGACCGCCTAGCGTCGCCCAGCAGTCGCAGGGCGCTCTGCCAGGAGGAGCCGCAGCGGCTGAGCAGACTGCTGCAGGTGATCTGGTCCTCGCGCCCCGGACGACTCGCTCGAGCACGACTCGGACTCGGACACGACGCGCGCGGCGCGATCCAGCGCGAGCAAAAGAAGACTCGGAGAAATGTCCGGGGGGGGGGGGGTTTTGCTTGACCACGGGATGTTCGGATCTCGCCGGTTTTGGTTGGTGGCATGTAAATGGGGAAGTCAAGCATGGAGACATTGCGATTTTCAGAAACCATTTGGACTTGGATCCCCTGGTTGGTACTTAAAGGCCACTATGTTCAGAAATCGGATTCGAATCCTGCCGACCTTTCACCAACCAAACGTTTCTTGCATACATCAACAGGCTCCTTCCCTCATTCCCTGGTCTTCTCGCAAAACGGTTCCGAAACCTTTGTGACGCGTTTATGACCTCGTTTATGACCTCACGGGTCCCTCCCTTCCCTCATTTTCCCCACGTTTTGGTTGTGGTGCCGAGTCTTCTCATCCCCCCGCGCTGGGTCGGCTCTCCCGCGCCGCTCCCCGCGGTTTTTTCGGCTCGGAGGCTCCGGCTGCAACTGCTTCGCCTCTAAGTCTGTGAGGCAAACAAGGGCCAGCTGCCAAGTGCCCAGACCCTTGATCAGGGAGTTGTAGGTCACCAGGTCCTCGAAAATCCGTAGAAAGTCAGTTTGTCTTTCCTTTTGTTTCCGTCTCTTTTTTGTTTTCCCGTTTCAACCCCGGTTGATCCCGTTTCAACCCCGTTTCCGCGTATGGAAAAATCCGAAATTCAACCCCGCCAAACAAAAAATGGTTCCGCCTGCGCAACCCAGCAGAAAAAGGCTGGGGAGTTGATGGTGCAGGTGCCACTGGTGGTGTGACATCTTCTGGTGCCATGTTTGTGTGTGTACGTGTTTTGCCTTTTTTGGGGGTTCCAACCCAAAACCAAGACGAGAAACCCGGCATTTCGGGGGGCCCAACCCAAAAAAAGCGGACGGGGGAGGGAGTGGAATTGCAGCGTGTCTGCAACTGAAACCAGAGTAACGCCGGAACCTCCCAACCCCATGCCCCAAACCCATCAGCTAAGACTCTGTACCAACTGCCCACCTCCCCCGACTTCACATGCCAGGCATGGCGCGACCTATCGCGTGCTTGTGGAAGGGGCCCAAATATCTCGGTGCAAAAGTAGGCACAGTCTCGCGCAGCTTCCTCCAGCTCAAAGACGTCACACTGACTCCCAGACCAAACCCCAAAGAAACATGACAGTGAAGCCTTATGTTGAGCTGATTTACCCATGTACCCTTGATTTGTGTCTTATCCTCGAAGGGTCTTTCCCCAAAATCTGGTGGTACACCCTTTGATTCAAGCCCGTTCCAACGGTACATGCCACTTCTGTGGCTCCCCAAAACCCCTTTTGAGACATCGCCCAAAGCCGATGTCGCCATGTGAAAGAGTTTTTCCCTTTTTGCGGGGGAAATATAGGGAGTGTCCAAGCATATGGCCATGAATCTTGGGATCTTTTGGTGGACGTAGGTGGGGGTTCATGTCCACCAATCACTTTTGAGGTGGTTCCCTGTTACAATTCATGGCCATACGGCCATGGGTCAAAATCCAAATCGTACCCCCAGTGAACATTAAAAGAATCCCCACTAAAATAGGTTCAAAAATGGGCGGTGAATTCACCTACCAACCGAAATGGCATCCCATTGGTTTTGACATCCACAGCCATAGTCGGGAGCCTTGTGTCCCCTGACCACCGGATGAGCCGAGGCTCAGGCTGAGCACTTTCCAGCAGGCAAAGGCTCAGCTGCCAAGGCAGGCAGGCGACCAGGGAGTTGAGGCTCACCACCGAGGGCCTAAGTGAGTCACAATCCAAACCCCGGTACAAAAATGGTGCACCTAGATCCATGTGGGTATGGGTCAAAATTAAACCACCAGAAAAACCTCAGGTGTTGGCCCATATTTCCACTTACTAGGGCAAGCCATTTGGGGTACCTATTTTTGTCCCACGGCCATGCTTCAAGAATCTACGAAGGCGGATTCCCGCAGCCATTTCTGGCCAGGGGCTCCCTTGACCTTTTCATCTACCCGGGGTTTGGAGCAAGTGGCTTCAAGTGGGCCGGTTCAGTGAAGCCCAAGGAAGAAAGAGCCTCGTCTTTGATGTCTCAAAGGAGAGGTCATGGGCACGGGTGAGGGCAGCCTCCGTAGAATTGCCAGTCACTGGCGCCGGAGAAAAGGACGGGCGCCGGACCTACGACACATGCGACTCTCATGGTTTCAGGCAACAAGGACACGAGGCGGTAACAACCTGAGGCCCACATATAGTTTTGGTGCCACCTGTGCGGGTTCTCCAGCTTGATGAAAGTGACACCCATATTTTTTCTCGTTTTACAACATCAAGCAACAAGCACGAAAGCAACAAAATACACAACCAAAAGCACCGCAACACCAAACAATTCAACAAAACTCCCGATTCTGAGGCCCCAGCTGCATAGCGTGCGCCGAGATGCTCTCAAAGATTGCCAGGGCCTTCCAGATCGAAAGTGCCCACCCCCCCCCCCCACCCCGCCACAACTCAGGAAGCTTCCTGCCAGTTGCTGGTTTCGAGCTTCGGTAGTTCTTTCATCCTGTGCAGGAACCAGGGGCTTAAACCCCCAAACCACCAATTCAAACCGAGCAACGGTACACTTGCGGTGGAAAACAACCCATTCTCTGAGCGGTCGTTTCTTTTTTTTTTTGTTATATGTTTGTTTCCGGACGAGGACGACTTGCCTCCCCAGGGTCAATGAAAGACTCCTGCCAATCTCAACGCGGCTGTGAAGATGCTGAAGTGGGAATTCCCCATGACGAGCTTCCCACTTTCAAGTGGACTCCCTTGGTGCTCCACAAAATGGCAAACCAAAACCCTGCTTTCCAACTCCCGTTCTTTGCCCTTCCCTGCTTTAGTTCAGCTTTGTGGTTCCCATACCTCCCAAAGGACACCGGAACTCTAGGGGGGTGAAGTAGGCCCGAAGAGTTCTCCTCAAAACAGGAGCCCCTGAACTGAATCCGTTTCCTCACCAAGGCGGTGTAAATCCCCCTTTGGTCTCGGTTCTTCATATCTCCCATTTCGACATCATGCCAAAAAAGACCACTGAAAGGACGACAAGGTGACATTGCAAACAATTTAAAGAAAGGGCTGCATAAGGACCCATTCAAAAACGACTCCAGTCAGCTAATCAGCAATGTTAGGATTAATCGACCTGCCGCACGAAAGGCATTGGATCTGCCACCAACAGTGAGTTGGATCTCCTCTTAAATAAGACAACTCCCCATAGTCCACCCCAAGATTTGTCAATCCTGGGTGCCGGTGATTGTTGGGTAACCTATGCGAGCAACGTCAATCTGCATCTGGTTTTGTTCAAAGATCACATTACTCCCCGAGATTGCCGCCGATGCCAAGTGTTCCCATCGCAGGAGAAAGAAAAAAAAAACGATTCATGGACACAAAAAACGATTTATAGGGTCCTATGGAAGCAGATCGGAGCGGGATCCGGGACTGGCGCGAGAGTTGGTCCATGACATCTGGCAAAGATCCCTAAGCCTTCGGCGTCTCACCTTTTCTACTCAGGTGCCAGCCTGGAACTTGTTCTCGCCAAAGTCCCTCAACGAGAACTTGAGTGCCCGAGAAGTGTTGAGTTTGGCAAGTTACAATGGTCGGAAGGATCTCTCTCTGATTCTCTCTTTCCTGATTTCAGGTTCTTCTGCCCCACTCTGAAACTCCCTAAAGGTCGCGCACTCAGTGCTCAGAGACCCTTGCCCAAAACCAACCGCCGGTTCGAACTCTGAAACTCGGCTTCCGACTTCGAGCCTGGCGCCACTGGCTGGATTTGCCGCACGCGTTCGCGGCTGCATTGCAGGCCACCACCGACAGCCTGTGGGAAGGGGGGATTTCGGGTCCCTCTTCAAAGGCAAACCAAAGGCGCGAAGTCAGTCTCACAAAAACCCAAAGGTTGCCTCATTGTGGGCTTGACATATTTCAAATTTCTAGAGTGCAGAACCATATCCAGTGGCTCCTTTTGGTGGGAATCAAACTGTTGGGCTCCTTTCATTGATTATATAGTATGGTCCTCCGGAGCAAACCGAAGCTCAGAGTATTTCATTCAAGAATACTCTCTACTTGCTCAAGGGTCCCACGGGTAGTTTCTAGGATCTTGGCGAGACCATTTTGCAGAGGTGTCATACCTCCTTTGAGCCAACCCAAAAAAAAAAAGCACCCTAAACCACCAATCCAAACTCCCAAAACCAATCCTTCCCCTTTTCCACTTGCAACACCAACCCCTCGAGGACACCTTTTGCCTCAACAACCGACACAGACACGGTCTTTCGAGCGGCAGCCGGCGCGCCACAGCTTCTCCCAGCAGCGAGACGGCCTGCGGCCACTGGCCCCGACATGCGCTGATGGCAAAGCCGTAGGCGAAAACGTCCACTTGCAGCCTCAGAGCCGTGCTTCCGGCTCTGTCTCCGACCAAATACGAAAGCAACCGAAACCTCATGTGGTTTGTTTTGCGTTGTTGTTGCTGTTACTGTTGCTGTTGTTTTGTTTGTGGTTGTGGCTGTGGTTGTTGCTGTTGCTGTTGCTGTTGCTGTTGCTGTTGCTGTTGCTGTTGCTGTTGCTGTCGCTGTCGCTGTCGCTGTCGCTGTCGCTGTCGCTGTCGCTGTCGCTGTCGCTGTCGTTGTCGTTGCTGTTGCTGTTGCTGTTGCTGTTGCTGTTGCTGTTGCTGTTGCTGTTGCTGTTGCTGTTGCTGTTGCTGTTGCTGTTGTTGTTGTTGTTGTTGTTGTTGTTGTTGTTGTTGTTGCTGCTGCTGCTGCTGCTGCTGCTGCTGCTGCTGCTGCTGTTGATGATGATGATGATGATGATGATGATGATGATGATGATGATACAAAAAGAAGCGGATTTGTCAGGGAACCCAGAAATACGGAAACAAGACAAGCCTAACAAAGCTGCCAAAATCCAGCGAATCCACATAAGTGTGGGATGTGGTTCGCTCGTTTTGGCAACAACCAGGAACTGGCCCCCGACAACCACGAACCTAGTTTTCAATGCGCATAGTTTCAATCTTTGAGGTTTCAACTGATTGTGTCTCCATCCTTGGGTCCACTTCCCCAACAAAAGACTAAGATCCTCGTGCTTGGCACGCGATGCAGGGATCTGCGCGAATTACTCTTCACCCAGCTGAATTAAGAAACCGCTGAGAGCAGGACGTTCTTGAAAGATAGGAATCTGTGGTTTGCTATATATTGAAATATTTGTCCTTTTGAGAGTGCCCCGCTGCAAAAGAATTTGGGCGGGTCTTCCGCAAATGAGAATGTGTAGCGACGCAGGCCAAAGTATCCAGCTTCCGTGTTGTCCACTTGGACTTCGGGACACGGGGGACTCACGGAAATTCAGCGTTTCAAAAGGGCATGAAGCCAATTCCCCCCCTCCCCCAGCTGCGCTGGCGAAAGAACGCAAGCCGTGCCACAAACTGTTCCAACACAAGGCAAGTGAGGAGCGACCCAAAGCTCCTGACTTGTGACACTCATTTGGTTCTTTGGTAATTGTCTCTATCTATCTATCTATACATCGATCTATCGACGTATCGATTGATCCATCTATTTCATCTTCCATATGTTATCATACCTATTTATTTCCTGTCCATCTAAATCCTATCTGTCCGTTATTCATCCCAAACAAGTAGGCCAATTTTCTAGGAGCAGCTTGGCCAGGCTCTTCTCAACCGCTGGTCCATCCCTGCCCGCTTGGCTAGAATTAGAACCCCCGCAAAAACAACTCGATTTGTTTTTGCCTGCTTAAAGAAACAAAGGAGACCCCCCCAAAAAAAAGAGGGGAGCTATTTGGCTGTGGCTCAACAAGCCGGAATCCCAAAACGGGTTGCCCGATCGGTAAGTGGAAAGAAACATGGACCAAAACCCGCGGTTTGGGCCCCTCCGCTCCAGGCGGCTGCTGCGAGCCGCAGGCCTCCAAAATGGCGACGGCCTTCCGCCAGGACCCAGACTTCTTGCCTCGCCGTCGCTGGGGGGGGTAGGCTCGGTGGCCGAAATCTGCTCCCCGAAAGGTGACGAAGCTTTTAGTGGTTTGATACGGGAAAACCGTTTCATTAGGTGGCAACAAGCGCTTTTGGGGGGGGGGGGGGAAACGCACTGCAAGCGGATCTAAGGAAGTGACACCCCCTGGTGGATGTTGAGAGAGTGCTTGGGTGTGTTTCCCCTAAAAGGAAAAAAACAAAAACAGACCATCTTTTGGAGGGAGAAGATGTTGAGAGACTTTTGGTAGTTTCATTTGGGGGAGCGAGGGAACACCCCCCAAAAAAAATGGGATGGGTGCTATCCGGAGTCAACAGACAAATGTGTGTTGCTGTTCTTTTTTCAGGCTTCCCGTTTGGGGAAAGAGAAACCGTTTGTTCTTGGGGAATGCTTGGTTTCCTCTTGGCTCCCCTTTAAAACCAAAGAGAAACTTCGACACCCATGTGTTCAACCTGTAAGCATCACCAAAACCGACAAAACCGCACCGAACGACCTCTCGAATCAAAAGCTCACTGAGTTGTTCCCCAACCGCCATACAAAAAAGGCGAGAAAACATCCGCGCACGAACTGCTTGTGGGCATCCCTCGTTTTCACCCTTCTCCCTACCGAAGAAACAATGCGAGGTAACAAATTTCCTGATGAGAACCTGAGTCTCCAAATGAGATATGACGAGGCGCTGCGGATGCCGCCTCTTCTCTTGCACTGGTTTGAATGGCAGCACCCCTCGAGTTGGGAAGGCAAACGACGACAAACCCCTGAGAACCGGTGTTCGGATGTTGGAACTTTGCTAGCGCCGGTCTTTCGATCAGAGAAATCGGCAAACCTCTTGAACTTTGCAGGCTCCCCTAAAGCTAATCCCGACTTTCTGAGAATCATGGATGCTTCCAGCCCGGGAAAAGCTTTACCCTTGATAGTGTCCCCTGTAAACCATGGTTTGCCTCCCCCCTCTTTTCCTTCAGTGTGAAGCTTTACCATACCTCCCTCCCCTCTTTGCAGGGTCCCCTAAAGCGCACATTTTGAGGTTCTCCAAATCGTTTTGTGATGGTTTCCCTGGAAACCACCCTTTTTCAAGTGGTGTCAATGCAACGAGGGGGTCATGTTTCTCATGTTCCTCCACGTGGTTTCAGGCGCTGAATTTCACGCCTCCAGGGCCAAAGCCACCCGAGTTCCCCCCAGAAGGTACTAAGGGGAGCAAAAATTGAGAAAAAAAATAGCAGTTAAGTGGATTTGGATTTCAACCACCAAGCCACAATAAGCAAAAATGGAAAATGTTTCCCAACAACGACCATGAAGAGTCACAGAGTTTCACAAGCGTCTTCTTTCAGCTGGCAAATCCGATGAGCCATCTTCCAAGAAGCAGGAGGAGAGCTCCTTCAGCGTCGCATCCAGCGATGGCCGCGATTCCATGAAGCTCCTGCGGCAAACGGGAGCAGACAAGAGATGCCGCCTTTGCCCCTGGCGGCGATCACAGCACTATGAGCACAGCCCAGTTGCAATGGGCTTGGTGGACATTGGAAGGGGAGCAAAAATTCAAACTTTAGCAGTTAATCGGGAGATGTCAACCACTAAACCACAATAAGTTTAAGCAAAAATGTAAAAACTGTTTCCCAACAACCATGTGGGGGGCATTCCGGCCCATTCCGGTGGTCTGAATCTCAGTTTCTCTTTGACAGCTCAAAACATCTACGTCCAGGACCTTGCATGGTGGCAATTGGTTTTCAAACGGACTCTTTCCTTCCTTCCTTGGACCCTGGCGCAACAGACCAGGGTCCAGCAGGGGCCCCTATTTTTTGGACCCCGCCCGGGTTTGGCAAACGGGTCGCAATGGGTGTGCTAGGCCATGGAAAAATGGTTGGAATACATCCATCAAGTCAGTTGGAATTGCCAGGGTTGCTTGGGGTACTTGTTCCTTGCGATACATGGGGGTTGTTCAAAAGGTCCTTTACCTGCGATGACCATTGGGGGACACCACCAACAAGATGTTTTGTTTCCCACCAAAAAGGACAAGTTGCCCATTGGCAAAACCTTACATTGATCCAGCCCCACAAGTTTTCTCTCAACCTGCAGGACATCAAGCGGAACTCGAACGCCTTCATTTCGGGGGGTTCAATCCACGATCCACGCCGCCACCCGGGCCTGCAAATAGAATTGGCGCCAAGACGCGCAAAATAAGCAGCATTCAATTCTCGAGCCAAAAAACTATGAACAGACCACCCAGGCGAAATTGGCCCTGGGGAGCCTCCCAAATGGAATACACCTCACTCAGCACCTTGCGGGCCACATCCCAGTGCATGGCCTAGGGTAAGGTCACTTCTTCAAAATGTTTCTCCCGCACACCGCCAGGTCATGCAAGCAAGGAATTTTGCCCACATGACGAGTGGCTGTACCACTACATCCTTCATCGTCTTGCGCGGAAAATAATGAAACTGCCACTATTTCTGCAGTATCTAACACGCAACGTCTAGCGTTCATAACGAAGGTACGCACGACAAACGAACGAAAAGAAGCGTACGGAAGCATCTCTATGTCGCTCCACACCTTTGTCTACTTTTTGTTTTACGCTAATGGGATGGCCAAAATAAGACCCATGATTGTTAGAAAGGTGGTGACCATGGTCATGACGATTTGGCCCTCACGACGAAAGCCAGCATCAGCGCGACCGTGACAAGAGGCGGCCAACCATGTTCAGCCACAAACACTGTTTAAGAGTTGATGGCATCGCTGGAAAAACAATAGGGGGGCTTGGCCATAAGCTGCGCAGCACAGCTGAGGATGGTTGTGGCCATGTCTGGTTGCAAAAGGCACACAAGCAAATCTTCCAGAACAAAGACCCTTGTTTGCATCACTCTGGAATTGAATTCTTATTCTCAATTGATCCTTCGCACAGTGGTTGAAGATGTTGAGCAAAGCTGCATCGTCCACCGCGGATACGGCCACACCTGTGGGGATTCTGACACTCGTCCGTCCTGAAAGCTAAAATGCACTGGGCCCGAGCTTCGTCTCGGGAGGGCAGCAGGTCTTCGACTTCGTCCGGATGATGGCGCACAACGAGCGCTGCGCCCAGCTGGCCAACGCCAGCCGACAACCTGGGGGACGACATCACGCTGAAGAGCGGCGTGGGCACCATCGTGGAGACGGGCTGGACGACGGGCACTTCATGGCCCTGAGGGGGGGTCGGTTTTTGTCAGCTTTGGGCGTGTTTTGTCAGCTTCGGTCGCGTTTTGTCACCTTTGGTCGGTGTTTGTCAGCTTTGGGCGCGTTTTGTCAGCTTCGGTCGTGTTGTCAGCATGTCAACAGCGTCGCTCCATGCGCTCACAGACAACGAAAAAAAAGAAGAAGAAAAAAAACGCCGAGTCTTTTTTGTCCACCCTCGTACTTGCATCTGGTCTGTGGCCAAACCGCTGCACACTGGAGACGCACACTGTACTAGTCATCATCCTCATGCTGCCGTTTTTTTGAAAACGACCATTGCTCCTGGAACAGCAAGTCTGATTTCGCTGTGAGAAGCTCTCAGTGGCTTGCCCCATTCTGTACATTGAGCTGGCGACAATGACAAAAAGTTCTCAAGCAGCTGAAATTTGTGTTCCAGGCCGGTGTACAGGGGAGAACTTGTTTTTCGCCGTAAGGTCTGCAGTACCGATTCGACGACTGGTAGCACTTGTCACTAAAGGGACACAGCGACCGCTTCTGCTTCCACTCCAGAACAGCTTGTGGCCCTTGCTTGTCAATGTAGGGAACGCCGTCTGCACGCCGCACCCTTCCCGCTGAACTTCTCGAAGCAGCTTATGGGTGGCATTCAAGTGCCTCACGGGAACCCCTTGCACCGGTGCTCCTTCTCCACCTTCTCACCGCGAAGCACCTTCTTGGAGTACTGCTTCGCACACAGGCCGACCCACTCCATCAGCTTGCCAGGGAAGGACTCGTCACTAAGCGCCCATTTTCTTCCTCAGACTGATGAGCCTCTTCGACGTGGCCGGCAAGTCCAAGGACCCCGAGAGGGACCTGAGCGCGCTCTCGGCAGCGGCGCCCTCCCAACAAGCGGCCTCGCGAGGATGCGCTGCTCGAGGCCGAGCGCTCGCACCAGCGGCGCCGCCTCGAGCTCCTCGAGGCGGAGATCATGCGCCGCGAGGAACAGGAGCACAGGGTCAGATTTCTCCGCCGTCGGGCGGAGCGGGCTGAGGACAATTTGGACAGGCTCTGGCGATACATCACGCGCTAAAGAAAAAGTCCGCCCGATAGCCTCTTTAAGCGATCATGACTTCCTCAACGGCCTTCTGATGCGTGCAGGCGTGGCTTATGGAGAAGCCCGCTGCGTGGGTGGGCAAGGACGCTCCCAGCCTTGCGGCTAGCGAGGATGCGCTGCTCAAGGCCGAGCGCCTGCACCAGCGGCGTCGCATCGAGTGCCTTGAGGAGGAGATCACCAGTGAAACTAGGCGCTGCGTGGAGCTGGAGCGCAGCAACCGACTTCTCCGCTGGCAGCTGGCTCTAGCGGGGGAGTCGCAGAGGTACGATGCTATGCAGTCGACGCAGAGCTGCTTGGAGGCACATCTCCTGCTTCGGCGAGCGTGAGCGGCGAGGCGAGATGGCCTTGAGATGGCTCGAGCAAGAGCGTCAGATCCCGCAGCGATAATGTTGGTTAGAATCTTGGTCACTGCTTCAAGCCTAAAGGGACATGCAGGGAAAAAAGCAACCGACCGGAGCAAACTCGATACGCGCTTTTTTACTTGAGCGTTGCTTAGAAGCGCAGGCTCTGAGATGCAGGTGGAGTGACGATGCGCGTCCACTCCATCTTCCTGCATCTCGTGCGGAGCCTGTCGGAATACCCCCTCAGGTCAACATTGCGTGTTCGACCATCACACAGGGTGTTTTACCCATGGGGTGTGAGACAAAAAGGGGTATGTTGCACATACATGCAATGCGTGCATGAGTGTGCATGGGAGGATGCGTCCTCCTGCAGAGGGCCAGTTTGGGCCGGACAGAATGCCGATGGCATTCGTCAATGTGCGATTGCGTGCACTGCGTGGGCCTCGCTGCGTATGCGCGAAATGGTCCTGCGGGAGCAGCTAGATGCAGTAAGCCAACGAAATGTTGGGAGCTGACAAGCTTCCATTCGTGCGGGCGCATGCGTCCCTCAATCAGGCCTTGTGGAGGCTGGATGCCACCTGGGCCGTGAAAGGGTGGGAGGGTGGGTTCAAAAAAGAACGAAAGAGGGGTCAAACCCTCCAGGCATGTCCCTTACCAAAAGGCTTGAAGCAGAAATGGCCACGCGGCCGAAGATTCAACCAAGATTAAAACACAGGGGAAAAGACAAACCCCTAGCGTTAGAATCTTGGTCACTGCTTCAAGCCTAAAGGGACATGCAGGGAAAAAAGCAACCGACCGGAGCAAACTCGATACGCGCTTTTTTACTTGAGCGTTGCTTAGAAGTGCAGGCTCTGAGATGCAGGTGGAGTGACGATGCGCGTCCACTCCATCTTCCTGCATCTCATGCGGAGCCTGTCGGAATACCCCCACTTTAGAGTTCTAAGCAAACGGTCAAATCACCTTACCCCCTCTTTAGTGCGTTTGCGATGCAGCCACGTGCTCGGGTCTCCACGGTGCGTTCGCAGGGTGAAGCGTGAGAGCTGATGCGTGAGGCCAGAAATCATGCGGCCTGAAGCGCACTCTGGCTTCTGGTCGAGCCTGGAATGCGGAGGTATTACCTCTGCTAAGCTGGTCTGCCCAGATGTTGTGCTCCCCTGGGATGTGTGACGCGATCACGGACCATTTGTGCTTATGGGCCCAGGCAGCAACAAGTTGCACAAAGACTTGTAAGGGCCAAGAAGTGGTGAACAGCTTATTAACACCGGCTTCGGAAGCTGTGTTATCTGTCCCTGTGGGCATGCAAATGCCACGCACGCCTTGTCCCTCGCTGCTCTAGAAGTTTTCGCTTGACCTTCCCTGCTTTGAGCAGCTCGTGCAGCTGTCCTTTCAATTTGATGGTTTTTTCCGGCGTGAGTTCGATGGTCTCGTGCAGGAAATTAATGCGCCACCCACACCATGTGAGGTTGTCCTGAAATTGAACTTTCTTCCAGGAGATCGGGGCCGATATGGCTGCAAAAAACATGACCATGAGGGCCAGCTGCGCGTCTGCGTCATTGCGACGCAGAGCGGCTAAAAGGTCATCTACGAACAACCATGCGCGATGCGGGCGCAGTCCCAAAATGCCGTGCAGTAGTCTCAGGAGGAATGCTCCGGCGCGCTGCCACCAGTATGCGGAGAAGCGTGCTCCGAAGTGGCACACTCTATAATGGTACAGGACATCGGCAACCCGAAACAGAAGCAGGCCATGTTCACTGGGGTGCACTTGGATCTGCTTATGCGCTGCTTTGAAATCAAAGCTTGCCCCCACAAAGGACGAGCGCGTGTCCTCGGGGAGGAAGGCTAAGCGCACGTCTGAGGCCATTGGCAGCCTGATGCGTTCGGGAATTGCGCACTTGGGGTTCACCCCACACACAGTGCTGTCTAAGACTAGTCGTGGGTCTTTGCCTTCAGCATGCACGACGTTGAGCTTCCCGACTGCTATGCCTTTATGCCAATGCTGTCTGGCTTGTTCGATGGACATGCTGGTACGAATGACCCATCCGTTTGCAATTTCTTTTTCTAGCAAGGCGGACACTGTTTCTGGTTCCGCTTCAGCGGCTTTCCAGTTGCCGATGCACTCGGTGAGTTCACTAGGCAGGTCTGCCTGGGGTTTTGGCGGCCACTGCATGCTGCGCGGCAACTCCGACACCGCCCCTGTTGGCACGCCTTCTGCCAGCAGCGGCACTAGTTTGAGGTCGGGGTCATTGGATGCCGTCGCCAGGGCATGCAAGAGTGATAGGCGGTACGGCTGTCCTTCATCGGGTGCAAGCTCGGATGGGCACGGCATGCTCATGCCGCGGAATGCTATTCGTGCTGCCTGCGTTGCCGGAGCCCACATGGGCCAGAATTTTTGGGATGAGTTTTCGTTCGTCCAGCCAATGTAGCCAGGCCCGTGCGACTATGGTGAGCGGGTGGTTTGGTTGAGGGATTGAGTGGTCTGCAGTTGAATGCATGCCAGCTCCGTCGCATACCCGCAGGCGCACGGGGTGCAGTGAAAGCGGGGAGGGTTTGCTTAAGCGGCGGACCTCGGGCTGCGTGCTCACTTTGAATGCGCAATGTTTGATCAAACTTGCTGCGA